TCTCCCACTTCGATCTTCGTCGTGAACATTGGTTCGGCCATTTTGAAATCTTATGACCCACTGATGCACTCCACCTTCAGTGATAATGTTGTCCCCATACACTTCACGAAGCTGCCGATAGATTTTTATCGGTTTACAGTTTTTTGCAGTCAGAAACCTTATTACTGAGCGCACCTCGCAGCTCGCGGGATTTTCAATTAACGCAGACATTTCAAACCGTCACAGTATCTGAACGGAGCACAGCACGAACCTCTCACTAGCACGGCTAGATGCAGACTGAGCTGCGCAACGCTCTGACCCCAAGATGGCCGCGCTAGCCTCGCCCCTAGCGGACACAGACGAAAACGTAATCTACTTCCTGGATGGCCCTCGTATATTCCCTTTATTAAGTTAATCGTCAAAATTTTCATGATTTTTGAAAGTTTTTTTATAAAAAGTAGTTTTACTTCTTTTAAGACGAAAAACTAAAGTCCTTCTTATTCTTGTTAAATGGCATATTTTCTATAACTTTTAACAAATTTTGCAGACAGGCTGTTTTTTTAAAAACTGTATTCCCTCCCTCCTCCCCAAAATATTTTAAATGAAAAATTTCATTTTTCTATTATGTTTCTCAATTAATACTTGTGTTGTTATTCATATAAGCTATAATGTGTGCATTTTTCAAAGTGTACTGAGTATCTTAGCCATAACGTTATAATGAAATTAAATTTTTGATTATAAATATATTAAAACTGCTTCATTCATTCAGTCAAGCTATGAAATATGCCCTTAAAAATACCACAGTTTCCAACATGACCACCTTTAACTCTTGATTGTAGTCCCATGGCTTTGATTTTAAGATATTAAAGAAGGTAAATTTTCAGACTAAAAGCATTTTCACAATGTGACACATTTTTGTTAAAATAAAGGTTTATAAATTTATACAGGGTTGCCACGCTACCTGGAAAACCGGGAGAACCGGAAAAAGTCAGGGAATTCGAAAATTGACCAAAAAATTCAGGGAAAAGTCAGGAAATTTAAGTATTTTTGTCAAAATCTGGAAAAGTCAGGGAATTTCATACAATGATCCCGCCAAAAAAAGCGATTTTTGCGCCGAAGTCAGAAGAGATAACTTTTTTGGCGAATTGTGTATCATGTGAGTGTCATTCGGGCAGCTGGCATAGAGCCAATTTTCACAGCTCCAATTTGATTGTCTTTTAGAAAGGCAAAGCAAGTTTTCCGCAACCTTTGGTTTCCAGTATTCTCGGTAATCGCATGTGCAGTGCATGAACTAAAGAAAGTACTTGTTCTCGTATAAAACAAAATGGGTTTAATCCTAGTATACGGTACCATGGAGGTTAGAATCAAAGAATATGTATTGTAAAGAAGGAAAACCTCTCTGCAACAGACGTGGCTCCGTTCCATCATAGAGGGAAACAGCTGTGCATGCGTGATATATCTGTCGCCAAAGCTCGAAACCGGTGTCGAAGTTCGAAGGCCATGTTACCAAAAGTTCATAAAATGAATATCGTTTAAAATTTATTTAACCACTTACGCTAAAAAAAACGTGCCACACACGTCGAGATGCTTTTGTCTCAAAGCGCGAGCGACGTGAACACTACGTCGATAAGCATTTATCGCAAAAATGAAAATAACGTGGTGCACACGCCGCCTAACAACGAGATTGTTTATTTCTCGAGTTACAGCTCTGGATTGCACTCGCAGGTGCGGAGCGGCGTAAATGAGATACTTTACCTATTGTTATATTGTAGTGCACGGCACCGTAACCGTGAAGTTTAGTCTTAGCGCAAGTGGTTAAACTCTAAAGGAAAAGAAAATATTTTTTGGCGCAAGTAAATTAATTCATGGATTAGTTATTTTCAGGAAAAAAAAAAAAAAAAACTACGAAAATTCGTTTTTAAAATTATTGCAAAAAATCCAAGAAGAAACGTCCTTTGATAAAACGTTTCTTCTTGGATTTTTTGCAATAATTTAAAAACGGATTTTCGTAGTTTTCTTTTTTCTCAAAGAACGTTTCTTCTTAACACGTGTTTCTCAATTTCCTGTACACAACGCGGAGAGGGAAATTCTGGCCGCCAGGTTCCCTCGCCAAATCCCTTGGCAAATTTTCCCTCCGCATTCTAGCGGCGTAATAGCATTTTACTTGTATGGAACCTTTTCTTCTTTACATAGGTGTTCTTTGGTTAGAATAATCTCCATGTATGGTACAATGGGATTTGGCGACATGATGATGCGCAGTAAACGGGTCTTTTTGGTCTTGGCAACAATTTTCAAAATCATGCCAAGGCCGTATACTAGAATTTTACCGCAAAATCTTTTTAAACCTTTTTTTTTTTTTTCTTTTTAATAAATACCTTGCCATTTTGCAGTAAAATAAAAAAATAGTAATCAGTCATCTAGGCTAACCATGTAATATAACTTTATTCGCTAAAATATCGTTAATTATTCTAATTCAATTTTTAAGTAATTATCTTTATTTTTATGTTATTCGTATAATTTAATGTTGCTTCTTCCCTCTAAATTTATTTATTATTAGTAAATAATATTTCCAAATTTCAGGAAATTTTCTCTGGCATAATCCTGAAATTAATTCTAGCAGTATGATGACATACCATCACGAAATTTAATGCACATATTTTTTCCTTATGTATGCTGCGAAATAAATATAAAATACATCAATTTATTAAAATAGATTTCTTTCTTTTGTTTAGCTGCAGAATGTCTGCAAAAAAAAGCCTTATTTTATTCCAGATTGTGAAGATTCTAATCTCAATCTTCAGTGGAGAAAACAACAACTATTATAATTATATTTGTGTTTTCAAGTGTTAAGGTGCCTTTTAAGAACATACATCACACAAATTAAATTTACTTAAAATCTAACCTATTTAGCATTGCGTTGTGATTTATAAGGACCAATTAGCCTTGTCTTGAACTGGTGATGATCATGAGTAATAATTAAATAAAACATGCATTTGTTATCCAATGTATATATCTTAAATTTTATTAAGTTTCTTAAGTGGAAAAGTAAACAAAATTATCAAACAAAGTATACCAAGAATAATTAAGAATAAATGTCCTCTGGGAATTATTGAATAATTAAGTGAATTTGCTACACAATAGAAGTAATACCATAATTAATTTACCTCTTAGCACAGCCAACGTACATTATGCGGATAGACTGGAATTTTCTTGAAACACACCTGGAAAACCTGGAAAAGTCAGGGAATTTCATTCTCGTGTTTGAGTGGCAACCCTGTTTATAGTTGCCCTCTATGAAGAAAATTTTAGTTAGTTGTTTCTCATCCTACACACTTATTTTAATATAACATTTATTTTAATATAATCCTCAAAACATCCTACGATAAATTGGAGAATCTGTACAGTTGGGCTTGAAATTTTATCAAAATAGTATCACATACCACTTACACCCAAGCTGAGACTATTGATTTTAAGGATCTTTTAAAATTGAATTTCACAAGAAAAAAACATTTTGAATTATAACACTTCTATTAATGGAAAAGTACGCATTTCATTGAAATTGTTTAACTTATTAAGAGGTGTTTTTCAAAATTTGCATTATAATTCTAATATGTAGGATTGTAAATATTTCATAATTTATGCACACAATCCCTCAAAATTTTAGTTCAAGGTATTATTTTTTTTTTTTTTTTTTTTTTTTTTTAATCATCTGAGGAAGTCTTTTTATTTTGGGGAGGAAGGGAGGGACTAAATCAGTATTAAAAAAAATTCTCATTGAATGCCTTTATGCTTGAAGAATAAATAAAAATATTCATACACCCTTATTAAAGAATGCAGTCTTTTTAGCTGTCTAGTTATGCTGTTGTATTAATTCCTTTATGAGATTAGTTATGACTTGGTATATATGTATTATACGTAATTTTTTTTTTTTCTTTAATGGTTTGGAAAAGATGTTTCCACAATCATATTGCAACTGAACATAAATGTAAGTCATTCTTTTAATGCCTGATGCATCTTTTATATTTTTAATTGCATTGGTTTGCTCAACAGGAGTGTAAAAAAGACTAATTGCATTGGAATCTGTTTGTCAGATTAATTTGATGTGATTAAGAATTTTAAAAGATTATAGAGATTGGTGCATAAAGATGCAAGATGTACATAAACTTTTAGTGGATTGATTAAAGCTAAAAGAAATACAAAAGTTTCAGAAATAAAGTTTCCTCTATCTTGGACAATTAATTTCTACAAGAGTGAGAAAATTCGTAATCTGGCTGAACCACCAAATTCAACCACTTAAAATTTCAAAATTGTGTTGCAGACAGATCTTTAAAATGGACATATAAAAAAATATTCACTTCTGTGATTTTTGTCTATGCTTATCTACATCAGTAGCTTGTTATGTATGATTTTGACACACATCTATGTCAAAAAGGTTTTGCTAATGAAAGCATTGAGAAATGTGTTATCTTTTCCATGCACTGATAGGTTTGTCAGATATTGTAACCTTCATCACTAAAAATTGAGTCTCTGGTCCATGCCCTTCTAATTTACTTTTTTTTGTGTGTGATACTGCTTAACAGAAAGCTTTGAAGAGAATGACAGTTGTCAGCACTTTTCAGTACACTGCCTTGCTTCTATTATATAAGCAGCTTGATATACATTGTCCCCTTTTACTCTTTTATGTGACTCACATTTTTTTGTATGTAAAATTATATATGTAAGCTTTTAAAAAATGATTACAAAATATCTATATAAACTTAAGTTGTGGGTAAAATAATAAGCATATTCAAGTGGCCAAGGTGAATAACCAGTTATGTTCTTATATTTAAGGCAGTTGTGCAAATGCAATGTTACAGAATAATTTTATTCTAAAAATTTATTGCACCTTTCCATGTGAAGCTGTATGGCAAACATTGAATTTTGCATATTGTTTCCAAAATCATTCTTTATGACATTTGAGAAATGAAATCCTTTGTCAGTATCCATCATGTGATTAATTACCTGCATATTCTGAATTTCAGGAATTCTGTACGTTTGGCTATTAGGAAAATTATGTATGCACCAAGCCGTCAAGGTGAGCAGCCTAGTGTTGAAGTGAGCAAAGACTTCATGATGAGTCCAAATAAATTGCATTTAGAAGCATCACTTGATAAAGAGGTGTGTAGTTTGTATTCAGGTTTTACAGCATAATTAATTTGTTTTTCAATTTATATTCGAAAGTAGTTTATGTATGCTTGTTGAAGAGTACATTTTAAAGATGTAGTACTTGTAGAAAAATTTATTTTAAGCATTTTATGCTGATTATGCACTTGGTGTGTAGAAATTTTGTGATCATCATAAATTATTTAAAATTGCTATTTATTACTCTTTTGGTTAGGTAAGATTGACTAGAAGATAACAAAGTTAAATGTAAATTCTTTTGCATTAGACTATCTTAAAATTGCAAGATAAGCAGCATAAGTTTTCCTATTAGAATGTCTTTTTACAGCACTCACTCCAACTTATAGTAGAGAAGTGGCTCTTTTTTCCTGCATTATAATTGTTTGATTTTGTTTTCAAGTAATTTTTAATCAATCTTGGACAATGACTTTGATATTTCTTCCTGTAATTTAAAATTTTTAATACACTTATGAAATGTTGTTGCTGATATAGATGTTGCAAATATGAAATTTTTTGCAAATTATTTATTTTATTATTCAATCTGTTATAAATATTGAGAACATTAGCATTATAATTTTGGATATCATCACATAATCTGCAGTTATAAAATTATTGCATTTTTAATGCAATTATAAAATGATATTGCACCTATTTTTAGACAGCTGTTGTAAATATGAAATTATTTGCAGATTTCGTAAATTATTTGGGTAATTTTGTGGGCAAGAACTGCTATTTTCTAATTTTTTTTAAAATCCTTGAAAACCATTAATAGCTGAAAGAGTATAGATTTTTTTTAATTTTTTTTTTTTACATGGAGTTGAATCAAGTTATTTAATTGTTCCTATGATTAGTAATCTGCACTTTATTTCTGTTTGATGAATAAATCAACAGTAGTTAGGCATGCAGTTGTGTTAGTTTTCTTTCCGTTTGTTTTAAAATTGTATGGTTTATGAATATCAGGTGCTAATGTTTCTGCCTTGGAGATTCATTTCTATTTTGTAGCATCAATTGTTTCAGGAAATTTTCTTTTTCTATGCTTCATCCGATTGCAAGGTACAGTATTCTCCTGATTGACCAGAGTAATATTGGGGGTTATGTCCATCGTTAACCCAAGATCACAGTTAACTGACACCAGGTTAAAAAAAAAGAGCATTGAACCTATATAATTGCTAGTAAATACTATTAACTTGTATTTTTAAGCAGTTTAATGTGGAAAATAAGCTCATTTGGTTTTAGAAACTAAATCAGCTTTGAAAACAAGATGAACACACTTAACAGAAAAATAATATATTTTTTAGTATTAGAGAACAGAAGCTTATTAGCTGTATACTTAGTTTATTTTTGTGATTCATCAGTTTATTTTTAATGAAGAATATAACAATTTTTATATATTCCAGATTATGTGCATTAAGTACTGTTATGGATAAAAATTTCTAAATACTATAACATCATCTGCTATCACTTATTTCATGCAATTTCATCTCCTTCTTGCATTGCCTTTCGAAATTTGATTTTACTCTCATAGCTTGTGACAGAAATTTTTCTATCATTCTTCAATAAACAGACTTAACCCCTTTTTTTAAGACAGGCCTGAAATGATTAGAGATTGATGCTGATGCCTAATTTCAAATAGTTAAGATTTTAATTTTGGTTAAATGGTGAATATTGCATGTAATATATATTCTGTCCACTTCATGTTCTTGCAAAGGCAAGGCCTATCCATTTCATTCAATAAACCTTTTTGAAACTTTTGCAAGAAAAGAAGCAATCATATAGTGGCAGAATAAAGTTGATTTTATTTTATAAATTGTAAATATGTTACTAACAAAAAGCTTTCAGAGTAAGTTATGGGTGTGCAATTTTGAATCATCTACTTGGTTAGTATTATAATTAACTTAAACGTTTTCGAAGTTTTGTTTGGGGGGTTTAATCAAAAAGGAATTATTTCACAGTTTTTGCAGTGCTTGGTTCTTGAAGCGATGTATTTAACCCTTTCACGTGGACTTTTTGATTTATAAAAATATTTACTTTTTTGAATTAAAAAAAGGATAGCATAAATATTGAAGAACAGTGCTTTTATTTTTTTGGATTTTGCATTTTCAAAAAATTCATATGGGGCATAAATGTCCGTTTAGATTTTAACAGTGGGTCATACTATTTGACAGTGGGTCTGCCAACAGGCATAAAAGATGCAAATGATTATGCACAATAAGCAAACCTATATATGATAAACTGAAAAGCAATCTAAATACAAAGCAATAGTATACTGAATGCAAGTAACTTTTTTTTTTCTTCCTTAATTTTTTGACATCTATGGCATCTTTGACTGGTGAGTGATCATCAACATTTTGCAAAGACATCACAAACTTAGTTGGTCTGCTATACAGTCTTCACTGTTTCATGGTAGCATGTCTGCCCTAGTTAATAAGTTGTTCTTCCAGTGGAGCAATAGTAGCAGCAGAACTTGTTTAGGTGAATCTCTTGAAGTAATATCCAGGCATTCACTACTGAAGTAAGCAAAAACTTGTAAAATATCTTTTCCCACCATTTATTGGATTTTCTATGTATATCATACAGACCTAGTAACGAATCTGTAAGATCAAACCCTCACATATATTTGTTGTAAAATAAGGCTGATTCTGGACTAGTTACATAGGTTTTAGATCTATCTGTATTTTACCCTAACATTCATTAGTTTTAGATCCTTCTTTATTTTTTCTTTCATTTCAGTTTCTGAGTTGTGGCAGTTGTTTACTATAACTCTTTTGTATCCTTCCATTTCACCACTAATAAACCTGTATTACTACAATTCATTTGTAGGTCACCTCAAGCACAAAGTTTCTTAGAAAAGGTTGGTAAGTATTTTCTATTCGTGGTGCAAGTATCCACTGCAGTGTACTGAATATTGTTCATTAGGTTCACAGAAGTAAAGAACCTATCAAAACATAACAAAACATTTGGACTCTGAATACTTTGGCTGCATAAATATTCAGGTTATAAACTTAACCTGTTAGCCCGTCGCATATTTGCCAAATTTTTATGCCTCTCTTGATTGGTTTTAGAGGTAAATATTGTTTCATAGTGGATCTTGCTTTGACTTTTATCTTGGATTCGTCAATTGAATGATACAAACTATCTGACCGACCGCCCTTGCAGAAATATTTTTCAGATAAACTATTACTTCATCCAAGAAGTATGTTTTGCTGTGTTGTTGAAGTGTAATTTTGAAAGAAGTACCAGAAATCTGTCCCTTGAAGCTGTTGACTTTATCCTTTGTTTCCCATTGATTTACTTGTGGACCAGTACAACTGCATATTAGATACATGACAGTAACTCATTACAAGAAAAATTCCAAGAACAATCATGACATCAGAAGTATCTGTCGGTTCAATAGGTTTGGCACACTTCTGTTCCTGCAGTATTGTTAGGTGTTCATTCGTGCATTGACATATAAAAATGATCCAAATTTCTTGGAAACATTTTTAGAAATACATCCAATGTGGACAAGAACGGTCTAACAAATTAGTGGAATTGTTGAACCGTTACCAGTTGGTATTTGTGCGGAACAAATTTGCTATTTGACGAAGGCTGCCATATAATTTGGAGTACTGTTTGTGTCATATTAGGTGTTATGCCATCATTGGCTACATTTCCATCTGATTTTCAATGTCATCAACTTCTGGTTCAGTATTTTCTTGATCACTACTTGAGCTTTCCAGATTCTCCTGAAGAGAGATGCTTTCATCCATGCTGGATTCTGAAATCATCTCTGCGGTGGAAGAAGCATATTCCAAACCACTATCTTAAAATGGATCCGTATCATCTTCAGACTCATCCCCCAAACGATCAGCAAGCTGTTTGTTGTAGTTCTCTTGTCGTCTAGCTTTCTCTTTCTGGAAATATATATGTATGTACATATGCATATTTTTCAGCATACAAACAACAAAAACCGAGTGGGATACCTTAAACCCCAATGAGAATTCGACAGAGACGTATATCTCCATGTTAAAGTTTACAGCAAAAAAGGGAATAAAAATATCTTAACAAAACCATAATTAGGAATAATTGCTATACTTTTCCATTTCAAAATAATCCACACTTTTAGCCACCGATTTAGAGTAAAAAAACCATCAAAAATAATAAACAGACTTGTACGTGTAGATTGGGACACGTTCACTTTGTTGCTTAGTATTTGAGTGGGACACAGACTTGTGCATTTGTAATAGAGACTCTTTCCTCTCAAGTGTTTCTATTTTGTTTTAGGGCATATATAACCTATTAGATGCGAAAGGGTTAAAGTGTTTAGTTTTGTACAAAAATGAGGTTAAGACTAACTTCTTATCATTTCAATTGCATTGGTGAATCTTGATCTAAATCATAAAATTAAAGCCATTATTGAAAGTAAACAGTTTTTACTGATTGAAAAGTATTATAGTTATATGAAATGTTTTGCTTTTCATTTTTATCTTTTGAATTAATACAAAGGTATAAATGTATGTTGTACATATGAAGATTTTCTACTTTAACTATATAGCCTTGTTGTATTTTATAATTTATTTAGGGAATTATACTGCTTTTGTTTTAAAGCATCTTTTATTACTTTTTATGTTACAAAAATAGCTACATTTGTTATATTTTATTGACTGGATATTCATATGTGTTACTAATCCTTCAAGTGGCATAACAGCTTTTATCTTTTTTCCACTTTGTGTACATTACATGATTATTTAAAATATTTTTGCCTCATTTATTTTAAAAATTTAGTGTTCATGCTCATGAATTGAACCATCTGAAAACAAACCTTAAAATAAATCATTTTGCAAATCAGAGTAATAGGTGGTATGTAAATGCAGCATTTTACAAATGGTTAAAACATATTAAGAATTCCTGTAGCTGTTCATTGTCTCCCAGACGTTAAATTGTTATCACAATAAATAATATGATTAAAGCAGAAATTGGTAGTTTCTTGCAGATTTAGGTGCAAGTATATGGTTAGTTTTTTAAAGTATAATTCCTTAACAGGCATTTTGAAAGAGAATGTAAAAAACATTCATTTAGGCTCTTAATAAGAATGTTTCATGTTGTTGAACAAAGAAAAAGGTGCGGTATTATGAACGAATAAAGTAATAATTTATGATAAGGCTAATTCTGTAGTTGGAAGGATTTGATTAGCTGTAGTATGAAATGAAACAATTAGACACTCTGCTAGAAACAAATTAATGAAGTTTTGAAGAATTCATATCAAAATTTATAAGTATTGAATTAGAAGTTTATCTGTATAGGCATTTAGAAGGAATGCATAATTTTTTCCTCCAAAAAAAATTAGTTATCTTTTTCAACTGTGTGTTTGTTCATCCTATACTCTGATTGCTTTTACTTTTAAATACTCAAACATTAAAGTTTTAATAGATCTTAAACTCTCTTGAATTAGTATTTATGAAGAGTGTATGTATCTATTGTGGTTTTAATTTTGATGGTTGTAAGACATCCATAGAAGGTAAAGTAAATGCATGTGTTTTAGGATTTCAATGCACAGTTGTGGGTAAAAGCAAGAGTAAAATTATCACATTGTATGTTTTCTATGTTAGTTTTCATGTTAATGTGTTGCATTTATTCTAGAGTTATATTTTTATTCCATGTAGTGAACTCTGAAATCCAAACCTCAGTAATTTTTAATCAGTATCCATATTAATCTGAATTGTAAAAGTTAGCTGATATTCATTAAAATTTCATTTGGAATTATGTGATTCTTTCAGTTTCTAGAATTATAATTTAGTTAGTATTTTGATTTTTAGTTATATCATCATGGTGAAGATATTGCTGTAAATGTGCATATAGCCAATAATTCAAATAGGACTGTGAAAAAAATTAAAGTCTCAGTGCGCCAGTTTGCAGATATATGTTTATTTTCTACAGCACAATATAAGTGTACAGTTGCTGAGATTGAAAGCGAGTAAGTTTCGCCTATTGCTTATGTTCTTTTTTAAAATTATTTAGTAATTGTCATTTACTCAAAAAATGTTTCATTCTAGTATGTTACTTGTAATTTCGAACTGGTAGATTGTTAGAACATTTGAAAATGCATTTTTTGATAGTTTCTTGAAAAATAAAATGGATAAATAAATTATTTACCTATTTTAAACATAAGTAAACTCAAAAGTAATACTGAAAGGCATTTGCTGGCTTTTCTGTTAATCTTTCTGAAATATAGTGAGGTGGCAGTAAAAAAAATCTTATGAAAATTTATTTTGTTTGGAAGAGTTAAAAAAAAGAACATAAAAATAATTCCTGCTATATCGATTATTCTTTCAGAGATGGTTGTCCTGTAGGACCTGGTTTCACACTTTCAAAAGTTTATTACCTGCGACCTTTACTAGCCAATAATAAAGATAAGCGTGGACTTGCGTTGGATGGGCAACTCAAACATGAGGACACAAATCTTGCCTCTTCAACTATGTATGTATGCAGTTTTGTAAATATATGTAATTGCTATTTTTAAACTATTTAAAAATGCATGTCTTTTTTTTTTTCATGTGTTTAGGAAAAACTTCATGTATGTTGCAATTTACAGCATGTAAATTTATTATGAATGCTACTACTAATTATGCATGCAATTTTATGCAATTTTTCATGCAGCTTTCTCCATATGTAATGCAGAGTAATTCAACATGAATGAAACTGCATTTTTAATTTGGTGTAAAATTACTTTAAATGATAGAAAAACCACTTAGCTATCTGTGGGAAAGAGAAGCAATAAAGTTTTACTTAATCTCAAAGATTACAAATTGTGAATGTGCAGGCCACTTACTGTATGTCATGTGTAGAAAAGGAACTGAGTTTGCTATATACTTTGCAGTAGCTTTCTGTTAGTAATTTCAATGGCTGTCCGATTGTTTTGTTATAACCATGGGAAATTGTGAGATGAGCAGTGCACACACAGTTTTTATGTATACCTAGAATATCAGGGCATTGCAATAAACCCTTTCCAAATGCAATTTTGTGTATACATGTTATCTTAATTGTCTCCATTTAATTTGTCCTGCTCAAGAATTTTGATTGTACGTGATATCCTGCAGAGCATTGGCTGCATTGTGATAGTTCTCAATATGCTATCTAATGACTGATTTAAAAATTCATTTAATGAAGAAGTCAGACATCACTTAAAGCAACAAACCTGAGCTTTAAAATTCTGCTAATTCATCGTAATGTTCCAGAACGTGGCACTGATTTTACAGGTGTTCTGGAACTTGGTACTCACAACATTGCACCCAAATATAAAAGGTTTTATTCCTTTCACCGAACACCACTTTCTTAATCCAATTACTGGATCAAAGAATCATAAAAACCTTCAAAGCCTATTATGTCAGAAATGCTTACATTTATGCAAATAAAGCACTAGACAAACAACAACAACAACAACAACCCAAAAAAAAAAAAAAAAAAAAAAAAAAACCACACCACACCACTCTAATAGCATTTTGGAAACAATTCAGTAAAAGACAATGCATAGAAATGATTAAACTAGCATGGGAACAAGTAAATTCATCAACAAATAAATGTTTGCTACCATCAACACTGGCCATAATTTGTCAACTATTTTAAAGGATGTTGACCATAGATTGAATGTGAAGCCTAAGAAATTGTACAACTTGCGAAAGCAGTATGTGGCAAAGGATATGGAACTGGAAGAAATTAAAGAATCAGGCAAATATGATAATCATAACAAATAGAGAATTGGATGATCTTTAAACACCAGCCTAAAATGAAAGCAATGATAGTGAAGAAAATCAAGAGCCTTTAACATGCAAGAAGCTAAATGAATTGTTAAAAATCACAGGGACTGTTCGATTTTGTAATGGCCATTGACCCAAATAAAGAAAGACACTGTATGACAGTTGTTGAAAAAATTTGCATTTCTTACCGGAAAATGTTTATTGAGCTGTGTCAGACATTGTTCCAAGCAAAAATCACCAGCTATTTAAAAAAATGATTGTATTGTTTACCTACTTATTTATTAGGTAGTGATAGACTTCCTTTCAATTAAAAATTGATTCATTTTCTTCAAATTGCAGTAATATTTAAGTTTGCGTACATAATACCCGCTTTCTAAATCTGAACTATACCTAACCCCTTTTTTTTCATAGAAAGCTAACTTTGCAGAGTGGGATTTTCCATACATGCAATGTGTTGATGATGTAACACCCGCATTTGCAAAGAGGTTACTACATGTCAGTTAATCTTCAAAATTGTTTTCAAAATATTATTAGTTGCATCACTTCTAAACCAGCTAGAAGATGGATATTCATTTTAGATTTGCAGTAGAATTTAACAGATAGTAAAAATAATTAAATAGATAATTTTCATTACATCTCCTAGTGCAACTTTTGTTCTATCATAAACAACCTTTACAGCCAGTGTGCCTTAGATATTTAATTAGATAGTTTTCATTTCATCTCCTAATGCAATTTTTGTTCTATCATAAACAGGTTCTTTAAAGCCAGCATGCCTAATTGTTGAAATTAACCATGTAGCTAGCCTGCTGACAAACAGGCTAGCTGCATGGGTAATTTCATGGCTTTTCATATACAGTACAAAGTCCGTAATCCGGACTCGTTGAGACTTCAGTGATTCCGGATTAGGGTTTTTTCCGGATTATAGATGAATTTAAATCTGGTAAGATGGCATGCAGAAATTATAAAATTAAAAATATGAAACCATAAGAGCAATTATGATCTAAATGGTATCAGAATTTACAAAAAAAAAAAAAAAAAAAAAAAAAAAAAAGCTTAATATTTATTTGTTTACTTTATTAAACATTTCCTTCAATGTAAGTTGTTTAAGTTGCTTCATTTTTTGTGCTAATACTTTCTCTTTAATTCTATAAACAAACATAATTTCTTGTTCAGTTATAAAGTTCCACTGTTCAAGTCCTGTAACTGCTGTGTCGAGAATACCGACTAACTTGTCAATCGAAATACTTTTGTTTTCAATAACCTCTCTGTCATTTTCTTCACTATTGGAAGTGGTATTTACTGGATCTAGAACCATACTACAGATTTTGCCGTCTGTTAATTGATTGATGATTGGGCATTGTTCCCTTTTATTTTTATTTATTAATTTATTTATTTTGCTTATGTCATATGCAGTTCACTTTCCAATGTCATACTCCTTGCATAATTTTGAGACAGATATGCCTTTATTCATTTTTTGCAGCAATTGCACATTTTGTTTGATGGACATCGAAACATGTTTTCGCTTTGTAGATCCTTTGGCAGCTGAAGAATTGGAAACTCTTTTTGACATACTCGGAAGTTCAAGCTTAATTTTTATAAAATTGCTCTAACGGTCTGCAAAAAATAATAAGCCGGATCCAATTAGAAGACTAAGAAACAGCGCAATCTGCAGCATTAACTGAAATGCCTTAGAATCAGTTAAGATAATTTTAGGCTAGCTTATACTGTCCGTTATACATTAAACGTGGATGCGTAAAGCATACAAAAAAAAACTTTGTGGCTTTGAGGTCCGGATTATAGATCATTCCGGATAATTTTTATCATCATCTTAAGGTAGATGTATTTCGAAGTATACCTGCAAAAAATGAGAGCTTTTTATTCAAAATTTCCGAAGATATACATGACTTTATATATTGGTGCATTTTGAAATTTGTCATATTTGTTGAAAGAGATAATAACATGTAATGCAGTTTATGTACTTTGTTAAAATTATTTGAAAGTAGGAATGATGTGACTCCCCCCCACTCATGCACAATGTAAAAAAGGTAGAAATAGTGTGACTTTTTTCCCGTTGCTGAACAATAAAAGGGAAAGGAAAATAGGTTGCCATATATTAAGAAGTTCGCCAAGTGTTCTTGGGGCAGACTGAAAGAAATGCGGCAAGCTAAATTTTGAATTTCTCTGTAAATTTCACACCAAATTTTACAAAATTTAATATTAGGCATAATTTGAGTCTAGAAATGAAACATGGAAAAAAAAAATTGGTATGTTATTTCTGAAAAGACCCATTTTGTGTCAAAGAAAACCTATGTTAGAAGAATACTATGTACAGTACAAAGTCCGAAATCCAGACATGTCGGGACTTCGGCGATTCTGGATTTGGGATTTTTCAAGATAGTAGTAGATCATCAGTTTAAATCTAGTAAGATGGCATGTAGAAATTATAAAATTAAAAATATGAAATCACGATTAATGGAATTATGAAGTATTTATGATCTAAATAGGGTATCAAAATTTACAAAAAAAGCTTAATATTTATTTTGTTTACCTTATTAAACATTTCTTTCATTTTGTAAGTTGTTTAAGTTGCTTCATTCTTTTGTGCTAATGCTTTCTGTTTAATTTTGTAGACAGACATAATCTCTTGTTTAGTTACATTGTTGAAGTCCTGTAACTGCCGTTTCGAGAATTTCGGCTAACTTGTCAATCGATTTTTTTTTCGTTTCCAGTAACTTCTCTGTCACTTTCTTCACTATCAGTATTTTCTGGATCTAAAACCATACTGCAGATTTTGCCATTCATTAATTGATTGAGAAGCACTGTCATTACAATGAAAAACTTCTTTTATATTATCTTCATTTATTACCGCTTTTCCACATTTCTTTACAAAATCCTTTAATTGTAAAATTTCACCTTTGTTTTGCGATATCAGAAAACCTTAAAATGCGCAGCTATCATCATCAAATTTAGCTATCGTACGCTATACATATTGGGCTATGCATCATGAGCTTGGTTACTAACGACAAGTTGTCCTGGTCAATTTTATCTTGCTTCTGTTGTGCACTTGAATTGCATTAGTTTCGTAATTTATTATACTTATGTCTATTTCTTGCATATGCTTAAGGCTTATCAGAGTTCTGAATAAATAAATTCCCACCATATATGGTAAACCTTACTGAGGGCTGGTGCTCTAGATATATCACCGTCTGATGCAGTCTGTGTGGCTCCTAACTTCTGTGACCCAGATGCCACCTTACGAACCCTGGTGCTGGTTCTAGGTTTATGTGAATAACAAATCAGTCATCCGTTATTCAAATACCCCTAAATGTAATCTTTGGGTCTATAAGTATCATCAACAAAATCTATTTTTACCATATGGAAAAATTTTTGTTAAATTTTTCCTTGTCAGCATGTTTCAGTGCATTTAACTAAAATCTGTAATCATTGCCAAGCCTAATGTCAACATATAAGGTTACTATACTCCTTTGTTATTCAATTACTAACATAAAAAAATTGTTTAGGCATCGCTACATGAGTCATTATTCAAGTTGTCATGTGTTGATAAACATGAGGTGATGAAAGAAAAGTATAATAAATAATGATTCGCCAGGTTGGCGTCAGATCAACGATGTATCTGTGTAGAATGTTTCAGTTTGAGATGTGTGCCAAGCAGATATGCAGCAACGGAGCCAAATTACTGATTGTGCATATTTATGCTAAGAT